CTCCTCTTATAACTGTAAGAAGAGACCTGTTAAAGACCTTCTGCTATATAAATACTGTTAAAAGAACTGGAATAACAGTAAGAAGAAAATTGCATTTTTTAAATTTTTTATTTCTTGTAAATTTATTTGTATTATTTTTAATTACTAAATAATATTGCTTTTTGCTATTCATATGAGAATTAATTGACAAAAGCAAAGTGTGTGAGAAAATAATTAGAAGTTTTAATTATTATGATCGTTATTGTTTGCTATTGATGTACGTATTAGCGTGCACATGATAATTATCACATGATCTGAATTGAGTTAATCCAGGTTGTATCTCTAGATCACGTGAACTATCCTCCTTTAGTCACCCCAAAATGGGATTAATAAAAATTCTCTAGGTTATTATGGGCTTTGAATTGATGCTTAGGGTGCTAGAATTTTTGCGTAAAAATTTTTGCGATAACTTTTGGCAGCCACTATAAATTAACCATATACGGTTAGATGTAATGTAATAAGTAAAAATGATAAAGTAGCATTTTTCACTATTATTTTAACCTTGATTAACAATAATACTTTTCGACCAGTGACACGGAATGGAGTATGTATTCGGTTCGCATTACATATGTATTGGCACATTCCAAACAGAGGATTTTGAATTCCTTGCGCAACCCTATGCATTCTGTTTGTAACGGTATTAGCGCATTCCTAGCAGATACCAAAGGGAGGCTTTTGAATTCCTGAGATACTTTCCTGGCGCGTTCGTGATTGTTACGTATGATTACGTGCGCGTCACGTAAAATTCCGGACACTTTTCTCATAGGGATGGTTGCGTACGACAAATTAATGCATTATACCTTTCGCGCATGTCTCGTCTAGCGTGCGCGATTTAAAACAAAATTTCAACATCAAGCTTTTAGCAGATAAACCAAATTATAACGATAACTATTTTTCTGTACATGTCGCCTGTTTATTATTTATTCGAAATTTAGCGGATGATGGTTTATCGTTATCTGTTTTAAAAGTAATTTTACGATCGAAAAATTGGGTGTATACGAAAAATTATCTATCTATCGGTTTATCTATGTAAACATCAAGGACGTCGGTTTTGGATTCGAGAAAGAATAGATGATGAATAAAAAAACTGAATATTAATGTTGTATTAAGGGGGAAAGATCTAACGGATATGATTGATATTTACAAATGCTGATATTTGTTGTTTTACGATTTAGTTTTCGCCTCGAACAAAAAAACCCTCGGTATTTAAATTGAATGGTATCGATGCAGATCACAGTCTTTGCTTAACGTTAACCATCGTTTAAGATAAGACCTTTTTTTGCTCATCCATGAAGTTTTGGCGATAGCGCGTTGCAAAACTTCTATGTCTCTCATCGGCGGTACTTTATCCATTATCTCCATTAAAGTGCTCAGAGACTTGGCCTTCACTATGTATGCGAGGGCATTATACCCTTTAAAATCTTCAGAGCGAGGATCTGCTCCCAATCCTATACACTTCATTAAAAGCGACGGGATATATTTGTCATGTTTCGTGAGCACAACAAAATGAAGGATTCCACACCCCTCGTCGACATCCTTCTCGTGAATGTGAAACAAATTGGTTTCGACCAACCATTGAATTAAGTTGGGATAATTTTTGACGTAGTCGAGTTCACGAATCATTAGTTTTGATGCGGATTCGAGTAAAACTGTGCGTTTCAGTTGTGGGTCTCGAATTTCTATTTTTCCGTTAAATGCTCTTATCATTTGCAATGTGTAGATTATTTTCATTGTTGATTGCGCCTGAAGGGCGATTATCGAGAGCGGATAGTGCTGGTAGATTCCATTCGGGTCAGCGCCTTTTGATAATAGGTCTCGGAGACCCTCAAGATCGCCTTTGTAGCAAAGTACACCTGGATCGTCTCCTGTTGTCGAATCCTGGACGACGGTAAATTTGGAAGTTGCTGTTATTGCTGTGTCGCCAGGCAAATCGGTGTCATCAAGCGAGCGGTGCGAAACATGTTTTCTCTCCAATTTATTAGGGTTTGAAGTCTGAAAACAATAACGTTAACGTTAACTTTAATTTTGAATACGAATAAAAAGCAGCAACATCACACAAACCTTTTCAAACACTAATGCTCTTAGCATGTTTAGTATTATTATACTTTCTTTCTTTGGTGATGAAGGTGTGAAACTGACTACTAATAGTAATATTATTTGTCTAAATCACAAACGAAAGGAGTTGGCAAAAAAATTCGTTATGTTTATGAATAAAAAGACAGACAGTTTAAATGTAGTTGCAGTTTTGAATAAAGGAATCAATGTTTTTTTGCGAGAAATTAACCGTTTATCTAATATTTAATCGAGATAGCAAGATCGCGTAAAAGTCGTTGTTGCTATTTATTTTTTTGGTGTCACTCGTAAATAATAAACAAATAAAGAATGGATGAATGATAGATAAAGTAAATATACATGTAATTGGTGTCAATGGTATAGGGATTGAAAGTACGCATTAATGGTACGTACTATACTAACGGTGGTCGGTTGGTGTGTGGCGCGAGAGAGGCAAGGGTAAAGAAAGAATGCGCATATAATAATTGAAAGAAAACAATGAATGACAATAAAAATGAGAGAATAAGCGTGTGTATATGTTTTTACATGAGAAATGGCAATCAACAATCGCCGTTTATTAATGTTTTGCTTATGCATGCATACATAATTGAATTTTGGTAAAAAAATACATTCATTCTGCATAATCTTTCTTTATTTCATGATTCGAAAAAAAGACGATAGATAATACGTAATGTGTGGTATAACCATAATAGTAATGTATTCAAATCGTTCTACGATTGTCAACCAATCATTAACTCGCGTGATAGGATTTACCATTTCTATACCCCATAAAAATCGCTGCTGGTCGAATAAAATTTAATTTAAATCAATCAGATTAGATTTAGATTAAAAATTAATAAATCGTTTAACGTTTTCATATAGCGATAGCTGTTTCAACAACAGTTACCCTGTTTGTTCACCTTTTTTGTAATTGATACTACATAGAATCCGACGGATCCGACGATTCCTTTGTTTTATTTACGTATTGGATTTAATAGTGCGCCAAAATATTTACATACTGCAGGATATGTATACAGTATCTATGAATGTATGTGCGTTAATTCAATAAAAAAAAACAAATAGACACGTGCGGATGCCTAGAAGAGTACAAAAACGAACGCCAAAACTCATCGTTTCGAGGTCGTGTGAGGAGGGCGTGAGTTCGTCGTGAGAATTTTATTGGCTGATACAATATTCTCCAACGAGAAGACTGAAAATCCATGCATTATGCGTGCGTGGAGAAGTTACATAAAGATCTTTCGGAAGTTATAATGTCACGATTATCAATACTAATATAGAAATTTTTAAGGGTAAAAACTTTTTTGTTTGTCGTAATAAAAGTTCAGCCAAAATTACGTAACATTTATTCCTGTTCATACTAAAAAAGTGTCGGATCATGTGTGATTTGTGTATCTGGAAAAATTATACGGTAATAGAGATTATTGTTAAGATTAATTTAAAGGTTAATAGGATTAGAACTAGAGCTGGAGCCAAAATTATATGTAAAATTGCCTTATTTATTTTCTTTTGTTTTTGCCGGGCTGATCAAAAATTTATTGGTTGCCACATAATCCAACACTTATTTTTCGTGATTGGCCGAAGGCGGAAAAAATTTCATATTAAAGTATAATTTGCTTGGAATTATAAAAGATCAACAAATCTATCATTAATTTTTCTTAAATTATGCTTAATTTTGGTCAGGATTATAAAAGATCAGCAAAATTATAGTGTTAATTATTCCAAATTATAAGTAGATATTAATAATCATAACAGAAATAGTATTTATAAAAAAAATTGTTATATAAAAATAAAGTAAATAATTTTTGGTGCTTTGTATATTAAATACAAAAAATAATAATTTATAAATTATAAATCATATAAAATTTAATATATTAAGTGAAAATGACATAATTATGTCATTTTCACTTAGTCTAGATTATTCCTGCTCCAGTTGATGACAAAATCACATGAGCATCATTATTCTAGTGACAATTAGTTCACGAGTTTATTATTATACTTAGATATCTATGATCTATAAAAAATATGATAATGAATTTGTATTCATGTTATTACACTTGGATATCTCCATGATCTATAAAAAATATGATGACAATTTTATGTTCACGTTATTATACTTGATCACTTTAATAGGTAATGACTTGTATGTTCTTTAGAAAATCAAATTTGATATTGATAATGTTATATAAATTTTGTATATTAACTTAATATTTTTGATCAATTTTGATTATAAAGAAATATTCCAATTAGATTATAATATTATAATCTAGTCTTTCTGCATTTTTATTATAATCCAAATTTGATAACATTACTTATATGTTGGTTTAATGATCATAATTGATTTCTGTCATTAGGTCACATACAGATGATTGAATACTGAGTTGACCTTATCGTGAGTTTGATAATTAGAATATGATTTATATGTTATTTGTGAAGATATATAATCAAAGTATATGCTATTAGATATATTGCAAATATATTATCAGATATATTATATATGTGCTATTGAATATATTTTCCATAGCCATCAATGCCACCCAACCAAAATCCGATTGAGAATGTTTGGAGGTTGATGAAAATTAATATTGCAAAATAAAATCAAAACTCTTACTGACTAAAGATACAATTAGCAATAGAATGGAATCGCTTACCTGATGATTTTGCCGCAAATCTTGTCCATAGCAGGCAGGTTGAGGCGTTAATTGAAGCTGGGGGATTATACAATGTATTAATAATCAGGATATATTGTAAACATTCTAATAAAAAAATGGCTTTATCTTACCTTTTAGTCGAGATAGGTTACTTCTGATGAGCACTGTATATCCTTTAAATCCTCTGCGTTGTCAGACTTTACTACATTATAGCATAAATTAAGTACACACAACTTATCAAACTATCTTATTTTCGAAATTAGTAAATTTAACAAAATTCAATAAACTGGGAAAACTTAACCAAAATTCAGTCAAGTTGCTTGAACATCGACTTCGAGGCAATGAAATGGGAGTAACGGTGATTTTAAAACAAATAAAGAAACCCGCTTAACCCTGATGGTGTTATTTTCTGTTGCAACCGACCCTTGACGTATCTCAAACTCAGCGTCCTCATCGATCAGTTGTCCTTTCTCATCAAGCTCTTTGCTATTGCGAAACTTCGTGATATCTCTTTATTGATATTAAAGATATCATGTTTCCAACACATGAGTACATCCTTCCTCAAAGTCTCTGTGTATACTTACGAGAAAATTCCATTGCTGGTTCTCAATAGTAACGATGAATGTATTTGGTGAGAAGAATGAAATCGATCAACCGGATCACGGAAGTTTATATTCTTTGATGGCTTTTATCAATCATCAGTATAATTCCAACTGAAAAAATTAAAAGAAGCAATTACCATAAGTTATATCGGGTATCCGGGGATAAGTCAGAGACCGGTCTTTTTTTATGGAATAAATTGCAAATGTCCAAAATGTCGCCTCTTTCGGACTCTTTTGAATGAGGTTTATTGCAGGATAAGCTCATTTATAATGATATGGCTTCAAAGAACACTATCTTCTATTTTGATTCATGAACATTTTTTTACTATCGCTATTATATTATGTAATGATTCTTTATGATCACACTTTGGAGATAATAAAAATAGACCTTTTTTAGATGTGCTGATCGTATTCTTTAAAAACATTCGTAGTAATCAAAAGTATTTTGTTGTTTATTCATATATTATACTTATACTAGCTAAATTCTGCAAAACTTTGACGTTTTTTGAATTCCACCGATTTTCTGAATAAAAACGTCGGAGATTTTACAGTGAAATGGTATTTTCTATAAAGTATTTAGAGTATAAAAAACAATGCTTTAATTGCAAATGTGCTCTATCGATACTTACTAACCATTAGACAATACAATAAATGCGTATAGAGATATCTTCATAGCATTATCCAATCATCTCCTATGCACTATTAATGATGTTAGTCTCCTACCAATATTCGTTTATTGCCTATTCACGTTTCAATTTCTCTAACGCTAATTTATCAAAGCCTTACATAATTATTTATCATCTAAACCAAAAAGTGATTATCTATGGTCGTAATAAAGCAAATTGATTATCCAAATGGCATGATTTTAATAACGATAAGAAAAACACACAAATGTAAGCTAAATGCATGGCTAATAATAGATTGCTCTTTTTTTTATAAAGAATAACGATAAGTCCTGTTTTAGAATGTGCAACAATTAAATGTGAGTTTAGTAACCTCATCGTAAAAGATCAAAACTTCTTTACATTGTTAGCCTGTATCAAACATATGTTGTTGTGTTATCGAAAAAAAATCAAATGCAAACGTCCGTTGAAAATAAAATTCCCTTAATGTACACGTAAAGTTTTTCTTTTTCCAAGGTGAAGATGTGCTGACCATTTTTCGAGAATTTTAAATTACAGTACAAAATGATCACAGTATCTTCATGACTGGAGATAAATATCCGTTATTTGAAATTATGATGTAGCACTCATTGGACAAAAAAATTGTTAACCCGAGAATATTGCGTATGTATTACATGCATGAATGACTCGATATTAATCTGAATACGTAATGACATTTCGGGTAATATCGATACGTATTCTGTGCTAATCAATTTTTCAACCAAAGAAACAAACTTATCTGTCCATACACTTCATTTATGCCATTTTTACACGAGAAATCAACTATCGCACATTTAATCTATACAATTACGTACCACAGAATCTTTTGTAGTGTACACTATATCAACAATTACATGTACTTGATCATATGCATATAATTTTTTATTTATGATCAAAAGACCTCATTTATGTATAATCAAAGTCAGACTTATTGGCTCAAGTATTCGAAGAACAAAAGGAAAAGTGAAAATAAACAATCTTTTTAATAGAGAATTTATGTTGTTTTAAAGAAACCAGTGAACATACGCAAATTTTGCCTTTATCTATTGAATTAAATTGAAATTCCGTGCATTTATTCGGGATTTTTTTGCAAGTTTGCCTAGTATTAGTATTTTATTTATTTAATTTTAAATCAAAATTAGTTTATTAATTTCACAGATTTTGCCGAATTAAAATGTTTCATTGTGCATTTTATAGCTTTAGACACGTTGAAATCTGTTGATTTCAAAATTAACGTATGCTACAATTACTGTAATTCTATTAGAATTTCTGAGGCGAATACTATGGTACATAAAATCTAAGTCATCAAACGTTTGTATTTTACAAAATGTATAAACTTCTTTACTAAGAAGTAAATACAAAATTTAATCCGTGAATATGCTCAGAAAAAGCCTATTCTATCATATTCACGGATTAAATTTTGTATTTACTTCTTAGTAAAGAAGTTTATACATTTTGTAAAATACAAACGTTTGCTGACTTTAGATTTTATGCACCATACAAATTTTAGTCTTAAAATTTGCTCATATAATTGAATTGATGTGTTGTGTATTTTAACCTAGATTTTAGTTTCGCAAAAAATAATCGAATTTGATTTATAATTGACCTTATTGCACACTTATGAAACGATCATATAAATAAATTCCTTCCTATTGCATAATAAAATACATTATAAAAAACTTGATGAAAAAGCATAAGGTTTGTATAGTTTCTCAGAATTATACTTATCGTTGGTTTACTGTAGAGTCCACCCTCGTAAGATAGTTTAAACATGTGTCTTTATATGTACAGTACCTCCAAAAAGTAAAATAATATAAAATTTAAAAATAATTATTATAAAAAAGTTAGATATATATGTTGTATCCAAACTCATAATTGTCCAAAATCAAAATCGATTCAAATTAGAATAGGAATATAATCAAAGTTAGTTCTGAATAATAATTTATATTTGATTTAGATTTGAAATATATTTCAGTTTTAATTGGAGCAAACTATAATTTGGAGCACAATATATATAACTTAGAAATTTTCATTGTTTATATGTTTTATTATATAATTTTGAATTAAACATTACTTTTGAAGGTACTATATATAAAATACTATTAGATATTTTTTTCCAGTATTATTATTTGAATAGAATATAAATAGGATATTAGAATATTATACATTAAATAATTTATAAATATAATATAGTATTATATAATTAATATTTTATTATAATAATTTATTATAAAACTTCAAACTGTTTTAACTTGTTATAAATAAATTGAAATATTATCTCTTAAACTGTCCAGTGGGCAAATTTGCTCGCTAAAATATTTTTGATTAATTTTTGTATATTTACACCTAATTTTTATAAGTTTAACTCCTCTTTCTAAACTAAACTAAAAATATAGCCTATTTTTAATTAATATAATCTAAATTTATAATTTTTATTTTTAAATTGCTCAAAATATTTGATTTATTTTATAATTAATTCTGTAATTTTATTATAAAATTTTTTTAAAATTTAGATTATCATAAAAATTTTTAAAATTACTTATTTTTAATTTAATAGACTATATTTTTTTATACTTGTTAAATAATTATTATATAATATATAATTAAAGTTAATATTAAATAACTTTTTTTAAATATTTTAATATTTGATAAAAATATATTTAGATATAAATTTATGGTATTTTAGCAATTAAATTTGCCTACTAAATTAAATATTTAAGAAATATTAATATATTTGATAGTTATATATTTTTTAATAAATTTTTATAATTATAACTAATAAATAATATATATATTTTTATTTTAATTTATTTAGTCAAATAAATTAGAAACTTAGTTATATAATTTCCAAATTATATTATTTATAAGTTACAAAATCAAATTTGCTTTATTAAATTATATTATTTTATTAACTAATTAAAACTTGAATTAGAATTAGAATTAAGATTTTAAATATGTAATTAATTAATATTAATAAGTAAAAATGATATAATTATTCATTTTCACTTAGTCTAGATTATTTTTACTCCAGTTAATAACAAGATCACATGAATATTATCATTCAAGTAATAATTGATTCATGAATTTATTATTATATCTAGATACTTATAATCTATAAAAAATATAACAATAAATTTCTGTTCATATTATTATATTTAAATACTCTTATAATTGATAAAAAATATGATAATAATTTTATGTTCATATCATTACACTTGGTTACTTTGATGAATAATGACTTGTATACTCTTTAGAAAGTCAAATTTAATATTAATAATATTTTAATCACTTATATAAATTTTTATATATTAGCTTAATGTTTTTGATTAATTTTGATTGTAAAAAAATATTTCAGTTAAGTTATAATACTCTAATCTAGTTCTTCTGCATTTTTTATTATAATCCAAATTTGATAATATTACTTGTATACTAATTTAATAATTGTAATCAATTTTTATCATTAAATCATATATAGATGATCAAATACCAGGTTAATTTTATTATAAATTTGATAATTAGAATGTAATTTATATATTATTTATAGAGATATATTACAAATATATTATCAAGTATATTATTATAATAGTAATATAAAAATTGCAAATTCAAAAATAATTGAAAAATATGAAAATTCCAAAAATATTTATATAATGATAAAATTCTCTAGTATTATTTCACTTTTCATTATTTCACTATTTATTATTTCACTTCTTATTTTTTACTTTTTATTTTTCATTTT